TCCCCTCTGGGCTAAAGATTTCCCTTCAATATATACCTCACTCACCATTTTTAACAAACTTGAATCTTCTAACCTTCCTATAAAGAAAGCATTTTAGAAATTAGTTCTCTATACAGATACTTCTAAAGCTACCACTGGTATTGGTCGTACAGTAACTACTAAAAATGAACTTGTAAGATCATCTCGGTTACACTTAACATGCAACGGTTGCACAGGTATTCACTGACCACCTATTAGTTCAAAACATTCTTGACATATACCAAAATCTCTGTACTTACGATGTAACAGTCTCTCTCATATGGCTGCCTTCTTACACCGTAATTACTGGTAATAAAACAGCAGATCATTTTGCTAAAGAAGCTACCGAACATGGGGTGTTTGGTACAGAATTACAAAACAGAACTTAAATTGTTTTTTTTTACTTTATTGTGCAGAAAGTTGGTTTATTTTTCAGTTGTGTTAATAATAATATTGTTGTAGGTAATGCTGTATTGGAAAATCTGGAGCTACCCGAGTGAAAAGAAAAATTTCTATGCAGTAAGCATTTTGACCAAAAATATCAAAATGCAAAATATTTACCCGCTACTGCTATACCAAAAAAAATATAGTGAGGTAGAAGTGGAAGGTTCGTTAACGACACCACGCGTTTTACATATTCGATAGCAAAACAACCATCAACTAGTGCCAATAATGTTTCGCACAGTGATAATTCTGAACTTGACGATTTTGTTGATGATCTTATAGATATGCCGTTATCAACCATTGGTCAAGAAAAAAGATTTCATAATTATCATACACTTTTGTTAAAAGGTCTGACTCAGTGTTTCTCATCTTTATACAGTATTTTTGTGCTAATAGTTGTCTATATAATTCTAATGGGTTTCATTACACTTTGCTAGCATAACGTTTGTTGAAGTTGATACCATTGCAGTTAAAGATATTTTTACGCATCTGTATTGTACACGATCTAATATTTTTAAATTGGTATTGCTAGTTCATACATATATCCAACTCATACATTACTTATTTTAGTTTATGAAAACAACGTTACAATTAATTTCTATAACTATTAATGTAAACAAGTTTGTTTGGTTTTTTTTACCTTGAATTATTATTTTGTTAATATTGTTTATGTGTAGATATTAGAATTTTGATAAGTGTTATATAACTAATAAAATAATGCGAATTTAATTTTTGCAATATCTATCACTTTGTAATTTAAAATTATTTCATTAATAAACAGCTCAGATCGGGCGAGTTGATTAAAAAAAAACACATTCTCATTAATGTAAGCAGAAATAGAGAAATGGTGTGTATTTTATAAAACACATAAATAAATAAAATAAAGGCTACTATTTATTAAAGTTTTGTTAATTATTATTCCTTTTATCCCAACACATAGATTAATTTGTCCCCAAATATGTGTTGCCCCTTGTTGTGGCATATCGATCTGTTTATTTGTTTCAAAACCATTCCCATAAATTTACTATATTTTCAATCGTCATTTTAAAGATTAAAACATTGCAAATTAATTTTCTCAAAACATACACAACACCATTGTTTAAAAAGATTTTTCTTTTTTAAACAATGATAAAACTTAACTCTTGACTAAAAATAAACCTCCGCATAAGTGTTCTAAGACGATAGCAATCGAGTATATTTCAATTAAATATTTAATCCTTTTCTAACAAATCATAACACCAAATTTAATATCTGGTAAACTAATAAAAATTTAAAAAAAAAAGGTAGCATTTACCTACTTCATTTAAATAGATTACTGACCGATTTATATTTAGCAAGTCTCAAAGTATAAAAACAATTTGAAATATTCGCTCGAAATAGTCAAGTTATAAGATGCATACAACTATAATACCAATAAGCATTTTATATATTCTTATAATATGGTCTTATAGTATATTCTTTACAATCTGGCATCCGTGTACAGGTTCGCATTAGTTATCAGACAGCTGAAAATATAGTCGAGTAGAATCCTGCAAAGAATTAAGTTTCTGTTAATAGTTTTTAAAATTTATGACTAGAGGCCGCCATATGACGGCAGATTAAAAGTCAAACATTTGTTCCATAAGGATTGACTAACTAGTCCTATTTAAACAATGGTGTTACTGAATATTAAACCGTGTCAATAGCAAACAAGCGGATACCTTCTGATTGAGGTATTAATCTTAGCATGGAACATAGGGTCTTATAAATATTTTTAAGAATCTATGGTCATTATATTCCGTGCATGTCTTTAAAATAAGCGGTGTATGTAAATAATAGTGCTGAATTAGCTTTTGTTATAATTGTACAGAATAGTACAATATTAGAATTGTACCATTCTTTTGAAACTTCTCAGCTAACAGGGCATTGAATAAACAGAACCTTTCTGTTTTCTTTCAATGATAACCCAAGATATTTTAGCCTTTCTATTATGCATTGTTCTCTTCTTGGACATTTATATTTTAATATTGTTCTAAAGCTATTTGCTTATGGCATTGTAAAGTAATTATTATTTAAATGGGAATAAGCCACAATTAAAGGTTAAAGTAAGTTTATTGACGTTTTAATTTCCACTTCGGAAATCGTTCTCAAAATACCTAATAATAATGTAAATTGAAACGTCAATAAACTTACTTGAACCTTTAATTGTGGCTTATTCCTATTTAAATAGTAATTCATTTATATTTTATTTGCTTTAAAGCTGCTTTTTCTTCATCTACGCTAATCGCCGAAGATGTTCCGATCTCACATTTATGATTTTTCTCATGTTTTTTGTTCGGCATTAGATAAGAATAGCTCTACATAGAGAATTTTTCGATGGTCTTAAGACAATTAACATTTTAAAATTTTATTTGGAAAGTAAATTATGTGTATATCAGACCTCATGTTGCACAAGTTATAACTAAATATCTGTCATGTAGTATATGTCATTTATCCTTCGTAAAGATGTGGTAACTTTATGGTATTCTATTTGTGGTTGATATCTATTCTTCCTTCTGCGCTTGGTGTGCTACGTCAGAGAAAGAGTAACCGGTAGTGCTTAATTAGATCAAAATTTAGTAGATCTAATCTAATTAGATCATTAGCTTATATATCAGCTCTAAAGACCAACGTTGCCGTTATACACCCACATACCCCACATAGCTGTGGCTATATTTTAACAGCTACATTTGCCTCTTTAATAAAATTTTAAAAAAATGTGTATTCTTCTTCTTCTTGTTGTGACTTGCTCGATCGTGCGTTGGCTATCAATTTGGCTATACTAATTTTGTTGACGGCAGTTTGGAAAAGGGATGAAGAGGATTTGTGAAACCATTCCCTCTACCTTGCCTTTTATTATTAGATGAAGTAGATTATATCTCTTTGGATAACCCATAACATTACCAAAATATTCCAGTTCGTTATTTTTGACTGTTCTGACCACTTTCATCATCTTTTCCCATCCTCTGCAAAACAACATCGTTACAAACTCTATCTACCCAGCTTAGTATATACCCAGAAGTATTACTGTAAAAGTCCATCGACCAACCTTCGACACCATATAAAAGAGTAGAGAACACATAATCATTACTAATCTAATATTCAGTTTCAAAGAAATATTGTTTCTACATAAGATTTTCTTCATCTTAAAAAATGCAGCTCGCTTGGCAACACCGTGTCATCCGCGTACTTCAAATTATCAATATTGACGCCATTAATTTTTGATACCACATTAAACACTATCCAATGTTTTATTGAAAACGAATTTCTAGTTGATGTCAAATATTAGTGGGGACAAAATGCAGCTCTTCTTCATATTCAAAGCTCTTCAGAATTATCCTGGCCAATCCAATGTTTGCGCGCTGATGACAGTATAGATTTTTTCTCCTCCTCTTCCTAAGTGCCTTCTCTGTTGAGGTTGGCGATCAATATGGTAAATTTCTCTCTGTTCTGGGCTTGATGAATTAATTCATTTCCTCTTGTGTGGCTCCAATGATTTTCTCTTTCATCCTATGCCCCTTTTATCTTCAATCTTGCCTTCTAATATTACCTAGAGCTGCTCAAATTATATATAGCGCATTATGTGTCCTAGATATGACGTCTTTCTAATTTTGATAGTATTGACCAGATGAGGGCGTGTGTTTATTACTCTCAATACTTCTTCATTCGTAGTTCTGCTGGTCCAGCTTATTCTTAACATTCGGCGGTAAATCCACATGTTAAATGAATTTAATTTGTTGACGTCATACTGTTTTAATGTCCAAGTCTCACAGCCATATAGTAAGAAACACCACACATAACACTTTAGTGTTCTTAATCTTATTGTGACTGAGAGCTTCGGGTTACAGAGCATTTTACGCATATTCATGAAACTAGATCTTGCTATTTCAATGCGTCTTCTAATTTCTTTTGAGTGGTCTAGTTGACTATTTAGCTCTCTGTCCAGGTATATGAAGCTTTGGGAACTCTGAAGGGTGATACCATTTATTTGTATTTTAGGTGTAACTTGTTCATGGGGATTTTGTGAATACCAGAATTTTGGTTTTGAAAAAATTAATGTCCAAGCTCAGCCTGTGACTTTCTTCTGATAATATGTTCATCAATATTATTAGTTGGTCTTCTGTTTCTGCTAATACTACGGTGTCATCGGCATATCTTATATTGTTGATGATGATTCCATTGACTCTGGCACCTTCAAGGCGAAAGATTTTATTGATACGTAAGTCTTTATCAGCAATACCTACCTGCTGAAAAATGTTATCATTTCTCTCAAAGTCAATAAAATTGATAGAAATATCTTAGCATCTCTGTACTATAACCTGAATACTAAATAGTGCTTCTCTGGTTCCGAGGTTATTGCAAAACCCAAACTGCGTGTCACTTAGTTGTTTTTCTGTATCGCTGCTCTGGTCTTTACTAATCTTATTAATCGTTTAATTTCGTCCATAGTTATGTCAGGTCCTGTCACTACTTCTTAAATTTCAAGATTGAGCCTTTAGTAGTTTCTCAATATATTCTTTCCATCTGTCTATTTTATCCAAATCAGTGATAATATCGACGTGTTTATCAGCTCTTCAATTTCCAAATATTTATTTTCGAAGTATATTTCTTTTGCAGCTCGTATTTTTGTCGTTATCTCTTTATTAATTCTTTTATAAATTCCGACATTTTGATTGTTAAACTTGCATTTTTTTGTCCATTAAATTCAAAATCTCATCATTCATCCACTGTTGCCTTTTTCGATTGTTATCTTACAAGTTTGAGGTTGAGCTATTTATAATCGTTTTGATTCAGTTCCAATAACGCTCAATGGATTCTTCTGTTCGTTATTCTCAAAATCGTTCTGTAAATTGTTTAAAATCACATAGCCGTTGTTTCTAATAAAATCAATATCCAGTTTGTTAGAAGATCGCTGTTGTTTTATCCGTTTAAGCTTTAATTTTAATTCGGCCAACAGCAGACTGTAATCAGATGGAACATTGGCACCAGGAAAAGTTTTTACAGATTTTACTGTATTTCTGTAGACCTCACTGATGGTTACGATGGTTACAATTTAATTTTAGTTTAAGTTATTCATTATACATAGATTAATTCTCTTCAAAAATATGCGAAATAGTCTCTCCTTTATACCTTACAGTTAATGAGGGCATATGTGAAATTGGAAAAAGATCCGTTAAAAAAACGTAATCTTGTAAACATGAAAAATTAATTACTTCAATATTCCTAACTTAAATTTCCACAATTATGTTTTTTCTTTTAATCTGTGCATTTTATATTATCAACAAATGATATTTCTTCCACTGCCATTTAGTAGAAATATTGGATATTTAAATACTGTTTTTAAACATTTCTGTATGGTTTCCTTTCCTTAATCAGCTTAAAATATAAACCCTTATCTGAGCAATTATTTATACAACATTTTCTTCCGAAGATGGCGGTGTAGAGGAAGGTGGAACTCTGATTTCCTTTTAATACTGCTTTATATTGATTGTACAATGAAACTATGGCTCCATTAAGTGGCCAGATTGAAACCAATATCGTTAAAATTAGCGCTGCCCATCTCGACTCCGCACCATTAAAGTATATAAACCACTTAGTAAAGTAACCAAAACAGAGACTCATTATACCAATTCCATATCCAAGAATTCCGGAAATATTGTGGATGAATTTGAATGTGACGTTGCGTATAGAAATGATCCTTCCAGCTTCTGTGGGATAATTTACAGCCAAACCAAGTACGCATGATATTATTAATATTATCATGGATATTAAACCTAAAATGAAAATATATCATTAGTTAACCATTAACTATTGCAAAATTGAAATTTATAATACGGATAAATTATTTTACAATTAGTATAGACACATTTAGCTAAGAATTAGTTATGTATACGGCTTGACTAATGTATAGAACCTAATCTATCTATGAAACAATCATCGATTTGACGTAAAAATCTCTTCTTCTTCTTTTTCCTTTTCTTATGTAGGCTTTAAAGCCTGTTTCTTCTTCAATATTAGCCTCCTAAATGGTTTAAATTGTCGCACCATCTTTTTCTTGGTCTGCCAATACTTCTTCGTCCGTTTGGTGACTTATCTCGTGCTATTCGTATTATCCTATCCTCTGCCATTCTACTAATGTGTCTCGTTTCCACTGCTGTTTCCGTTTTGTCGCCCATCCATTTATGTCTTCTATATTGCATGCTCTTTTATGTTTTTCGCTTTTCTCCCTATCCACCAGACTTTTCCCTGATATTCGTCGGAGTATTTTCATCTCTGTTGTTTCCAGTAGTCGTCTCGTTTTAGATGTGTCAGGTCTTGTCTCCGCCGTGATTGTGAATATAGGTCTAATTGCTGCTTTATAGATTCTTGTTTTTGTGTCTTGTCTTAGGTGTTTGTTCTTCCAGATTGTGTCCTTAAGAGATCCCGTTGCTTTACTTGCTTTTAAGTTTTGTTGTCATACTTCTTCTTCAACGTCTCCGTAACTAGTTATCTCTATTCCCAGATATCTAAACCTTGCTTCCTGCTTTATTATCTTCTCATTAATTGCGATTTTACATTGTAGTGGGTATTTAGATGTTGTCATACATTTGGTTTTTTCTGCTGATATTATCATATTGTATTTCTTGGCTGTTGTATTGAAGATGTGTGTTAATCTTTGGAGTTCGTCTTCTGTTTTGGCGATTAATGCGGCGTCGTCTACATAACATAATATTTGGATTTCTTTGTTTTTAATTCTGTAGCCATGACCTTGACGTACTGCTTGTATTATTTCGTCCATTATTATATTAAAAAGAAGAGGGCTTAATGAGTCACCCTGTCTGACTCCACTTTGTACTGGTATACGCTGTGTTAGTTTTCCATTTACCTTTACCTGTATTCGATTATGGAACTAGATGTTTTCGATGATTTGTATAATATTGATCGGTATGTTTCGTTTATACAATAGGTGTAAAACGTCTTCGACTTGGATACGATCGAAAGCCTTTGTCAGGTCTATAAAACAGATATGCTGGTTTATTGTACTCGATGGCCGTTTCTGTCATTTGTCCTAGTACAAATACGGCGTCTACGCAGGATCTCCTGGATCTAAATCCTTGTTGTTCATCTGATAAAGTGGTATCATTATGCTGTTTCTTCATCACCGTCTGCTAAATTGCAGTGCAGTATTAGTTTCTGCATAAGTTTTGCTATTTTTAGGGTTATACTTTCTCCTTCGTGTTTTAGAAGCTCGTTGGTTATTCCATCTGGTCCTGATGACATTCTATTTTTAAGTGAATTTATATCTATTTCTACTTCCTAAAAACTGATTTTTATTTCGTATCTCATTTCAGATACGTTATTGTGTTAATTATTATTTTCCTTTGCTTTAAAACAGTTTCGTCAGGTATCTTTCCCATTCATTTGCTGGTATATTACTGTGTTTCCTCAATTCTGCCATTTCTTTCTATTGGTTTCCATGATTGAAATTCCATATTTGTTTTTATGTACCGCAGAAGTTGGTTTCCATCGTTTTTTTTTTGAAACTGTTACCAGTGTTTTTTTTTCTTCTTACCAACTGCTTTGTTTCATTTTGTATTCTTCTATAGGTGTCTCGGGATTCTGGGTATGTGATGTTTTGTAGTTCGTCTAGGCCTCTCGTTTCTCTTTACATTTCTCTTTTATTTCTTTTCTGAACCATGGTGTATTATTGTTGTTTCTTTTGTTCAGTATTACTTTACGATTTCCTAGAGCTTCTGTTGCTGCTTTTTCAATGTTGTTTTTAACTTTCTCCTAGCTCGCCTTTATATCTTCGTCGTTATATATATATATATATATATATATATATATATATATATATATATATATATATATATATATATATATATATATATATATATACAGAGAAGGTGTAAGAAGTTTTAACCTGTTAAAGTGATAATCGTACTCGTTAAATACCGTCATGTTTAAGTGGAGAGGGAGAACTTTCCGAGCTCCGGTTTTTTAAAATGGAACTTCAAATTAAAGTGCGCTGAAAAAATAAAAGGCACAATATCTGACCTTTTATGGCACGCAGAACATTCATTTTTTTTTAACTGCGGTAGCTCTAGAAAATAATAAGAATTGAGCTACTTTCACCTCCCAGAAAACGCAAAAATAAATAAATTAATTTTTTCCATAAAAAAATTGTTGAATTTTTGGCGGAGAAAACATCACGATAGATAACATCAATATAGAAAAGGTAGAACTATATATATATATATATATATATATATATATATATATATATATATATATATATATATACTATATATATATATATTCCGGGTTTGACTCCGCGTTAAGTAATTTTGGTTTTTAGAAAAACCATTGTTTTGAAAACATCAAGACAAAGCAGAACTAATCTGACTTGACAATGGCAAGTGTGACCTTGCCGAAACGTCGTCAAAACAATGGTTTTTCTAAAAACCAAAATATCTTAACGCGGAGTCAAACCCGGAAAACAACTGAAATTATATATATATATATATATATATATATATATATATATATATATATATATATATATATATATATATATATATATAATATATTATATATATATTATATATATATATATATATATATATATATATATATAGGACATGCAGTTAAAAAGGAAAGGGAAAATCAAACCCTAGAAATTAAAAGGACACAAATCTCATGGGCCGCTTTTGGTAAGTTGAGCTTCATTTTAAAAGACAGAAAAAATCCCAATGCACTTAAAACGAAAAACCTATGACACTTGTATACTACCAGTTGCTACGTATGGATTGGAAACTATGGCAATAAGAAGAAAAATGGCAGTACAATTAAGAGTAACTCAACGGGCCATGGAAAGGGCTATGTTAAATATAAGCCTCAGAAACAAAATTCCTATCACCGAAATACGTCGAAGAACTAAAGTAACCGACATTATGGGAAAAATAGTGACATTGAGATGGCAATGAGTAGCACATGTAGTAAGACAAGACACCAATAGATGGTCTCATAAAGTGACATTCTGGAGACCTCGAGAAACAAAAGAAGCGTGGGAAGACCCAAAAAGAGATGGATAGACTATATAAACAGCTGTAGCTGGAAAGCAGTGGATGAGAATTGCAAAAGATAGGGAACCGTGGAAGCAATTGAAGGAGGCCTATTTCCAACAATGGATAAATGAAGGCTGAAGAAGAAGAAGTTTATATCTTAAAATAGTCCATATTTAAATAGTCTATATCTTTTTTTATTATTATTAAAGATGGATATAATAATTTCTTTCATGGCCAACGACAGTAACAGAAAGAAGATAATGGATGAAAATAAAATCCAATATTTAAACCGAAAATCATCAATCTCAAAAACTAGAAAATTCAAGTTTTTTTCTTCAAAAAATACAACTAAATGGATTCTTATGTACTCTTTCAAATAAACGTTAATTATTAGTCATCAAGAGTCTGAATGAAGATCCTGAAAGGGAATTAGCCGCGTGAATAATGGGTACAAAGGACACCACCTAGTATTTTAAGTTTTAAAACTAAAGTCGTTGTTAAAGGAATAAATTTACAGGTTGATTCACGCATGCCTAGCAATAAGCTTTATTTTTAATATAATACTCTGTAAAATATTTTGATATTTTTAAAAGCTCCATAACAACCTGATCTCAAAGAACTGCAGGATGGAATTTTTGAAATTATACAGTGTGGAAATCACTTATGGAATAAAAATTTTTTTGTTCTTATTTTTAGAAAATTATGAAAAACACTGGGACACGTCAATTGGTAAATTTAAATGTGCTCTTTTTAAATATAAATTTAAATGTACCGGGTGATTCATACAAGTCCGGCAAAGTCCATTATCTTTATTTTTATTGGAATACATATATATTTTTATGTTTCTAAAATCTTCTTAACAATTAATATTAAGTTCTAAAACCCGACGATAAGAATATTGAGCATAACAGAAGATCAAATCAGAAGTCAAAAACTTGACTTGTCGAATCAAAAACGTTTTAACTTCAAAAAATTATACTAACCAGTAATTCCATGTGCTGTATAAAGATGATATCCTTTCTCTATATAAACAAAGACCAAAATGTTTCCAATTATTGTGATTATAGTAGCAAACGTAATAAGATAACCATGAATAGCATACTTGGCTTTTCTGCTTAAGTTTTTGCTCCAGATGTCATCACCGACAAACATCATGATGGCTTCCGCCATGAGGGGTAAATACTAAAACAGGCAATTTATATAGCTAGAGTTAAATTAAAATAAGCAATAAATCAATAAAATTGTTAAAAACTTTACAAAAAACGAAATATATCGAAGTTTATTGAAGGACGATAACAGATCGAAATAACATGTGGCTTCAAATATCTACCTAAATTCTAGGAGATGTTATCTCAGTATACTCTGTTCACTGTACCAAGTTACAACTATATCAGGGGTATAGTATCAAAAATAGCTATGTCCACAATTTTAAGAAATTGACATTTTGATGTCAACATTTTCATTTCGAGACAGCCTATTACCTAAATACACAGTTTGGGATTAAATTTAGCTTGGTCCAGAGTTATTTTGATTAAAAAAGTTTGTTTGGAAACAAACTTGGTTACGCTCATATATTAAATTAGTATTAAACATAGCTACACGCACACCAGCCAATAGGAGCACTTCATTCCAACCAAAACTGTTATGGCCTCTTATATCATTTCTATGTTGTTACATCGTCAGTTTTTTGCATTTTAAATAAGAATTCCTGTGATTTGAAGTGAAACCTATAATTTTTTATCAAGGCGGATGTTTTTCCTATGCCTGTAGATAAAAACCAGGCACGAAAACGGATTGCACTGCGACAAAACTGAAAAGCGAAAAAAAGAGAAGTAAGTTCGTTTGCTTATCAGGGCCGTACCGTAAGGCACTTTTAGATACACGATAATCTAGTGATGGACAAAACCTCTAAGAATCGGGAATTTTTTCGAGTTACTAGAACCGCGAACCATATTCGCTTTTAAAAGTGATTAAAAAATAAATAATACTGTTTTAAATTCATCAATTCCTGATTTCTTTAATGTTTAAATTCGTTAATGAGGTACTACTTGACCTCCAAAAAGATTTGTTTATAAAACTAATTTATCCGCTTATATTGGTAATCGGCAAACGCATTTAAAAAACTGCTTACATCCGAGTACCCAGACCAAATACCTTAAAACGGCCACTATACTACTCGCGAAGTTGATCGAAATGTAGTGAGTAAGAGGGTGGTAAGAGAGTGTAGACAAGTACTTCATGCGACCACTAGTCAAAGGGCCCGAAGTTCGAATACGAAGTGTCACACAACATTACTCGACTTCACGAGTATGTAGAGATTTACCTTGCCTTGATTAACTTCCTCGGCTAGTACTCACGGCTTCCTCAGCTAGTACTCGAATACTTTGGTTTAAGTGCTGGAGATATCTGGAGGACTTTTAGGAATCGAATACTCGTTGATTCTTGTTATTTGAGAACCCCAGCACTAATATAATCTATGACTAATATCGATGGGTATTTGGAAGTCTTTTAGTTTGGGACTTATATCATGGCTAAAAACAATTTTGTATTTTTCATACTTTTGTTTTAGGTATTTTGCAAAGAGTTGTTGCAAAGAGTAGGAACTAATAGCTTCAGCAGTTCTGTAGGAATTTCATCTGTCTTTCCATCCTTCATTTGTCTAACGGCTGCCGTTATTTCTTCTGGTAGGATTTCAGGACCTGAATTTTCTTCAACGGTGGGCTCTTGTACTGTTCTAAGGTCATGGAAAATTTTCCCAAGTATTCTTCCCATAATTTTTTTTATCTTCTTTGGTTATGGCAAGATTGCCTTCATTATCTGTTATTTTTCCGCTGTTGTGTTTTCGAAACTTTCCATCTATTTCCTTCACCTTTTTTTGTTTCTATTTGACTTCTCTTATTTTTCTTCTAACGATGGTATGTATTCTCTTATATTCTTGGAGAATTTCTTTGTTTTTTTTTCCTCTGATCCACAAGCTCAATTATTTCATCGGTCATCCACGATTTTTGTTTCTCTGTGTCTTTCTTCAGGTGTTGTTCCTTTATTTCTCTCAATGTTTCTTGTATGATGGTCAGACTTTCCTCTATAGTTTCTGCATTTTTGCATGCTAGCACCCTTGTATTGAGGTTTTCACTGACCTTCAGTCGAACATTGGGATCTTTCAGTTTTCTAAAATCATAATTTTTCATCGACTTACTTGTAACCTTCTTCATTCTGACTTTGAAATTACCTACGACTGGTACATGATCAGAATTTATGTCTGCCCCCGGGTAAGTTTTGACAGATGTACAGCTGTTCCTATACCTCTTATTTACTAGCATGTAATCAATCTGATTTCTTACAATCTTTCCCACAGTATGCTGTGGAAATTTCCAGGTGTACAGTTTCCTTGTATCTCCCCGATCATTCCGGTGTCCTAGACCGAATGGTTCAACTGCAGATGATGTTTTGCTGGCTCCAACTTTGGCGTTGAAATCACCCATGACAATTGTTAGATCTTGATTTTTTAACCTTTTTATGACTTGATCAATGCTATGGTATAGTTCTTCTATCTCTTCTTCTGTTCCTTCTGTTGTAGGTGCGTATACTTGAATTATATTGATGTCCAATGGTCTTGCTTGTAGTTGTATAAGCATCACTCTTGCTGAGATTGGGATGAAGTTGTCAACAGATTTTGCCACTTCGTTTGTCAATATAATGCCGATACCTAATTCATGTTTACCGTTATCTGTTGCAGAATAGTAAACGCGGTGTTACCCGATATTTGCGGTTCCTGAACCTGGCCAACGCATTTCGCTTATTCCCAGAATATTTAATTTCATGTGTGCCATTTCTTGTATTGCATTATGGATTTTACCTTCTTGTGCCATGGTTTTCACGTTCCATGTGCCTATTCTGATGTCTTCTTTGCATTTTAATCTTTTTATTATACTTGTAACTGCTCCTCCCGGAGATCCAATTCAGGAGCTTACTCTGGAATTGAATTTCGCTGCAAGCATAGCCATTTGATTCTACTAGGACTTATCCAGTCTGGATCTTTAATGAGGTGCCTCGTCCCAATCTTTCTTCCTCATCTCTATGCCTTTGACCGCTTCCACGGTTCTTCTGCCTTTGAAGCCAGTTTCCCAACTCCAGCACAAAGGGGTGCCCTACCATTTCCTAACTCCTCCACCCGAAGCTGTTGGCCAGTAAAAGGGGGATTGCTTATACCAGCAATCATCGGTGGATCATAAAAATAAAGTTTTTAAATGCAATAAAGTGACGGGTAAAATATTACGACAATTTCAAACGGCTTTTTATAAGAATCCGGTCTAGTCGGACCAAAATGCAATCATATTGAAATGTTATCACGCATTATCGATTAAGAGAAAACGACCAAGGAATTTGACATTGGATAGCGCGACTGGAGATCAGACTTCATTAAAAGCAAGCAAGCAGTGTACCATAAAATATTATATAAAAGTCGATAGACAATCTATAAATATTGACCAGAAGTTTTTAGCAGTGCTTTGCTTGAAAAAAGGACCTGTCTCAAATTTGATTCAAAAGTCGTAAGTGGAGACTTTTCAGGAGAAAAAAGAGGAGAAGACCGAAAAGCCAACGTATTCAAGGCTAAAAAGGCATCAGTGCATACATTTATTCGCAAACTTCAGTGTTCAAAACCACATTATTGTCGAAGTCAAAGTTCAATCCGTTACTATTTGCCAAGTGGTCTAAATATCCGAAAACTACAAACTATACAAAAATGAATGTTCACCACCGGCAAAAGAATTCTAATTTAAACATATTTTCAGCACCGAATACAATTTAGCATTTGGCAGTCATAATACATATCTATAATATGTGCTCTACATGTCTACAACTACTAGAAAAGATAAAAACAGAAAAAGATGAAAGGAAAAAGGATCAGTTCAGAGTAGAAAAAAGAGTTCATAACTTGAGGGCAAAAGCTTTCTATTCGCTGCTCACGACAGAACAAGAGGGTGTGAAAATAATTTCTTATGATTGCCTAAAAAACGTGAACCTTTCTAAGTACCAGACCAATCGTGATATTATAGCAGGCAATTCTATCTTTTTAATTTTACCATTGTGGAAGAAACTTCAAAGACGCCACTTAATAAAAACAACGTTTTTGCAAAAGTTTGGACAGAGAACACTTGCTCAAAAAATTCTAATACTATAGCACATTTTTAGTGTACAGACACTTCCAGTCTATTAAAATGTAGCTAACTTCACAAACAAAAATAATTGCTAAATTTACAAGAGTTAGACTGGAAGCGAGTATACATACTATTTTAATTTGATTCTGCCGTTTGTTATTTTATTTATTAATAACAGTACGCCAATTTAAATTATGTTTGGTGTATTGTTTAGACTGTTACGTAATTTTATTTTCAGTGGTAATTTTTAGGTTACGTTTTAAATATTGGTGACAATATTTGTAGAAAAAATTAACAGTGTAATCAATGTACATGATACGTGATGTTTTAATTTATCTTTACTTTCAATTCTTAACTGAAAGTCTATATTTGTATACTTCGTACATTATACTATTTTTAATTTCTACCGTTAATTAATTGTTATCTTACCAGCCATTATATTGAAACTCCTATACAAAAACAAAACAACTGAGTTTTAAACACGTTAAAAGAACCTTGTAGATAATATTACAGTTCAACTGTAACTTAAATGAATTTAAGGCTATAAGAACTAGAACAATAATATGGACTAACCTCAAAATTATCATATGTATAGCGGCGTTTTGTATTTTGTTTTTTTTTTTAGGAAAACTTATTTAATAAATAATATTTTTAATATTCATCGATATTTTCATTACAAAATGTGCTTTATTAATGTTGTTACAAAAACGTAATATTTGTAAAATTTCTTTAATAATGATGGCCAAAACCACAGATTTCATTTTAGAAAAAAAAAAGAACTTCAGGCAACGCCTAATCAGCCTGGCAAACAATAAAGCATACCAAAAGTATTCTTGATCAGATTCATCTTATGAAATTTCAAATAGTTGTCCTCTAAATGCGTGTCCCGAAGAAGCAAGATTTTTTCTAGATTTGTTCAACTTACGATTTGGGTGAAGTACTTTTAGTTCAGATGCTTGAGTCATTAAAAATAATAAAGCTGAATATTTTCTTGATTTGAGCCATCATCAACACTATCATCAACATACTGATAGATGTGTTGTGGTTTATCATTGAGCTTCAGCAGCTCAGATAGCTTAGTTAATAATATTTCTCCATTGTCATCGATTAACTGTTATATATGCCGCCTCAGTATACTGTTTGTTGAGAAGCTTTTTTGTAATGCCTGTCCATCACTGTAGACATCTTCCGCGTTGGCGCCGGCATTGAATAATTTTTAGTATAATATTGCCATTATACTTTTAGTCAATCAATTAAAGTTCAAGGTAATGAAACTTTCTGGTTGGAGATATTTTGTTCCAAAGACTTTAGATAAAAAAATTAAGCTAACGATTTGTTTTTACATAGACAGCAACAATTTAAAATATTAAGGTGCAACTATTTTTTGTAATTTAGTTTTATACCTAATACAATATCCTGAAAGATGAGAAAAAGCAATAAATCGCAAAAACGAGGAATAAAGTATAACTTTTACAACGATTTAGTATTCGAACACCCTGTCAGATTAGGCTACAGAATATGCTACAGATGAACGAAGAATAGACTACAACAGAAATGTATCGACACCTAAAGGAAAAGATAAACAAGACGGCAAACGAAGTTCTGGATATGGAACAACACAAAAATAAATATTTGGAGGAATACAGTTATAACATAGAAGAGATGATTAAAAGGGAAAAAGAGACATTTCATAAATGGCTTAACGACGGAAGCCCTAGAACACGAGTAGAATATCTTACTCTCAGGCAAAAAGTAAAGTAAAGAACAGGGCTCATGAAGAACAAATACTGAGAGAGAATGTGCGGAGACATAGCCAAGACGATAGGGTATAACAGGTTAACGGAAGCATGAAAAAATATCAGAATTAATGAAAGAACTTAAAATATCATACAGATAATCACTTGAAAAAAGTAGACAAAGCATTACACACAATTATTGCAGGAGAATCGATTAGAGTATATCTCACAAAACCGTGTGATAATAATAACGGAAAAAGACAAAATTACAGATGAAGATATGACTAAAATACTAAAGAAAACCAAAAATAACAAAGCACACGGACCAGCGAACATAAAAGTTAAGCTTAAAGAAAGCATACGATAGCGTGCCCAGGAAACAACTATAGGAAGCAAATTCTGGGCAATGTACAATTAATATGGAACAATAGGAACAATAATAACAAAAAGTGTACAAATATTGGCATTTGCAGATGATGGTGGCCTAAACATTAACGAAATAAAAACCAATTACATGAAGGCCAGTAAATTGACAGGCCAAAGAAACCTACAGAGGAAACCTCGTATTCTAAATTTATTTCGTATTTATTCTTAGAATAGTTGTCCTAAGTATAAGGTAAATATAATACTAAAATAATTTGTTACAAATAAACTCGGTATAAGTTAGTTATAAGTATTCCCACTTTATTCCGAAATAATAGTTTGGCAATGTCGCAATCTTTTGCATAAATACATAGAACAACGAAATATTAAGTGAAATATGTCAATTTTGATTTTTCTTTGAAACTGACAATGACAACTAACACCATTTATATCCTTATTTGTTATCTTATATGTTGAGTTTGAGTATTTAAAAATTGCAAAAAACCTTTACACCGCCTTTAGAAAACCGATATTTTATTCTAAATTCTCTATCAGTGTTTTGAAAAGGGATTTATTCTTTCTTTAAGTTTTTCTTTGTCGTGTATTTTCCATCATGTTTTCCATTAAATTATCAACTTCCTCTACAGCCGCAACACCTCTTAAACACATTTTTTTTTATTAAATAGCTAAGTACTCACAAAATAATACAAAAATAATATATTCTTATCACTGATGACTTTCACATTTATAAAATAGGTTATACCGTTATACCAGACTTAAACTATTACCTTTTTGCCTATACCTGATTTATTTTCAGTAGTAATATCCCTAGGACATTGATAACAGACGAGATAATTTCATGACAATCGAAAGCTCGTTCCTTGGTAACAGCACGAAGCCGAAGGCTGAGTGCTGTTACCAAGCAACGAGCTTGAGTAATTTGTCATGAAATTATGCGGCATTCATCAATATCCGAGGGATATTCGGCGGATAATTTTTCGAAAAAAAAATCATAACTCAACATAACGAAACATTTATTTATTAAAAGTACAGTTAGTGAAAGTACAATTATTAAAATTTAAGTTAACATTAGATTCGTTGCTGTTCTCTACTATATAAGATCTATTGCCAATATGAAGTTGTCAAACTCGATCGTGTTGTCATAGGGATTGAAAATTACACTGAATGCAATTATCAGTCTAATGTTGACATGATTGGGTGAAAATTGTTCCACATGACACAAAATGACGAAATTTGAATGGTTGTTAGAACAGTAGAAAAATTATCAGTTATAAGTTTTATACTTGGTTTATTAATTATGCTGCTAAGATCTAACAACATCACAAGAAAAACCAATTCCAAAATATACAACACCCTGATAAAACCGGTCCTTGTATATGTATCAGAGACATGGACACGTATATATGTATCAGAGACATTCATGTATGCACAGCATACAATGAACGCGAGATCATAACATCCATAAAGATCGGAGGTCTGCTCTGGAGGGCCATGTTGAACGGATGTTGGAGACTGAAACGCCAAAACATATAATGAGGCAAACACCAGTGGGGAGAAGGTCAAAGGGAAGACCCAAACTTAGATACATGGAATAAGTGGAACAAGATCTGAAAACACTTAAGATTACCAACTGGAAAAACAAAGCAAAGAACAGAACATAATGGCGGAAAATCCTAGAACAAGCCAGGGCCCAAAAAGGGATGTCCAGCTACTGATGATGATGATGACAATTAATACGGGTGTTTTAAAAAGGTAATGTCATAAATTAAATAACGCATTCCGGGGACAAAAATAAATTGATTGAATCCAACTTACCTTAGTTCAAAAGTGTACACAAAAAAAGTTACAGGACTTTGAAGTTACAGAATAAAAATTGTTTTTTTGCATTATCTCCTAAACTACTTAACATTTTGTAATAAAAATAGACACGTTACTTTCTTGTTCTGAAAGCATTTATCATATAAAAGAAACAACAAAATCTAAGCACAAAGAAAATTTTAAGAGGTGTGTGCAGCCCTAAATCCCCCCAAACTTTTGAGTACGTTTAAATCAAATGAATTTTGTGGCATCATTATTTTAACACATTATTTCTAAAAATGTTTGCCCCTATCACTTTTTTCAAAAAACAGTTTTTATTGAGTTACTCTCCTTTTCGCTAACCTTTAAAAAATTACGTGCAATAAAATAAATTGTTTAAATGAATTAACAAGTACAAAAAATGTCTATACCCTATACAAATATGATATTACAATTTATGATAATTATTAAATATGATAAAAAAATTATTCTGTGCGCTTGGATTTTGTTTTTTTTTTTTGTATAAAAAATGATTTTAGAAAAAGATAGTTGAAAAAATTTTTTTATTACAAAATGTCAAGTAGTTTAGGAGATAATACAAAAAAATTTATTTTGTAACTTCAAAGGGCTGTAACTTTTTTTGTGTACACTTTTGTACAAAGGTAAGTTGGATTCAATCAATTTATTTTCATCGTCGGAATGCGTGATTTTATTTATGACATACCTTTTTGAAACACCGTGTATATTACCACATAATTCCTTTTATTGTCTATACAACATAATCTCAGTCGTTTTTACTTAAGTTTCTTTCTGATGTTGCTTTGGTTATTCTGTGTACCTATGTTGTAAATCGAGTGTCTCATTTTCTCTTATCTATCTATAATATCTACTTTGGGAGTCGTTCCTCTTCCATTCGCCTTAATTGTTGCTTTTCGATTAATTGCTTAATTGTTGATTTGCCTTCTGATTTCTTATCTCTAAAAGATTTTTTTACGTACATTCAATGGTATCTGTGATAGATGATTATTGATTTTACCTCTGTCATCTCTTTCCATGATATGATTAAGGTACATAATGTTTATGCCCTTTGTATATATAACTTTCTCTCGCAATGTTTGTGTCAGTAATCGTTTAGTAGTTTGTAATACTTATTTTGTTGTTATCAATAATTTCAGTTTGTGGTTTGATTTTTCCTCATAAATACTTGTATTTTGAAACAAATTCTTTATGATTCATTATGGTCGTCATATTTATCTTTATCTCTTATACCAAGAATATTAATTTTTAAATATTATATTATACTATTTAATTGTTAACAGTTGTTTTCTGATACAAACTATGTATTGTTGTTTTTTCAACTTACTCTACATCTATTTATCAAGAAATAACAAATATTAGGAGCACAACACTTGCAAAAAAAATATATTGCTAATTGAATATCCGAATCGGATACTCAATCAATGGATATATCTAAAGTATTATACCATTAACCAAACATAATTATAAAAAATAAACTTACCCCAAAGGTGCATAAAATGACATGATAGGAAAACCATCCACCCAAATATTGAAACGGGACCCAACAGGAATATAGAAACAAAGATGCTGTTAAAAACCTCACTGCATAATTGATCATAAATCTAAAACAAAAACAATATTTACAAAAGTATTACTACTGTAACAATTTTTGTATAATGAACTAGAAAATTTAACAGTGGTAACAATGAGTAATAATTTACTGATAAAAACCACAGAACCAGCGTCGTTTCAAATATATTATTAAAAGTTTATATTGTTCTAGTTAAAACCACATATCTTGTCACTACTAACAAAAATAAACAAAACGGTATTTTGTCAGATGTCGGAAAAGACAGGAACTCGTCCTATTAGAAGAAGAATAAATAGAAGACTTTCTAAAAATATCGCTTACTTTTGACGAGTAGTTTATAAAATATGTAATAAGTCTTTATTTTTAACGGGTCCTGTATCTTCTAACTGTGTCCCTTTCAGCTTCAAAGACTGGCCTTCAGAACTCTGAGCAAGACAGACAGGGCGGGGGAGTCCTTAACCTCGACACGGCACGTCCCAATGACTGATAGGGAAGTATCTGTAGATATGCAGGACAGGTATGAATGAAGCTTAGCCAAATAAGTACCCGTGGATCAACTGACAACATGACATAGGTCACCAGCTGTATCATTAGTGGCCCGTGGCTGAGGAATACAATTCCTGACAGGTGCGGTACCACAGTCGCAAGCGGCAATCAAGTTGATTTTACCGTCTATGATATTGCGAATACTCACCAACCCGTCTGGCACGCGTGGTGTTTTAATACCAATATACCCTTAAAATTGCGATGTGAGATTTTAAAACAAATACAGATGTGACTAGGATGCGTCCAAAATCTCACACTGATTTATCAGTCCGTCCTTGGAATTATGCGGGGAGATAAAAAATAAAACTGACTATACGGGAACTTAAAGCCCCATAACTCTTTACGTTAGATAATGCCAGAAATCTACTGTCCGAGCAGAGATTCACAGAAATGAAAACTGAAATGAATAAAATTAAATGGGATGTCATAGGTATTAGCGAAGTTAGAAAGAGAGGTGAAACTTTGAAAACGCTTAAATCAGAGCATATATTCTATCAGATTGACACTGAAACTACATTATTTGGAGGCATCGGTTTCTTTGATAAAATCATCCAAAGTATATTATCTAGAGTGGCATATCTTATTCTGAAGCTGCACAGTAGATATCAACTCAAACTTATCTAAGAATACGCTTTAACAACAGACCATACAGATGAAGAAATCGAAATGTTTTATGACGATATATCTACTGCGCTTAATGACGTTCGTACTTAATTCACAATTTTATGTGGCCATTTTAACGCAAAAATAGGTAGAAGCAGAGCTAGAAATATCGTTGTAAAAATTCGGTTCTCTAGAAAAAATGACCGAGAAGAAACGCTACTAAGGTTCCTATTCCAGAATAATTTATTCAAAAGAAAACAGTTTCTTTCACAAAAATATGCACAGAATATAGACCTTTGTAAGTCCAAACGGTAGAACAAGGAACGAAATTGTCTACATCATAAGTGATAAAAAATAAATAATTACAGATTTAACAGTACTCAACAAGTTTACTACAAGCAGTGATCACAGAATGATACGAGCGAAAGTCCAAACCAACATAAAAAAAAAACATAATAATTAAAAATAAATCTCATGATATCTTGACACCCCCATTAAATATCAACCAATATCAGGCACGTATCAATAATAAGCTACTACTGCATTAAACCTCCGAGAAAGATCTTAACGACTTAAATAATTGCATCATAAACGCCTTACAAGAAAGTTACCGAGTGCACTGTCCTAGAAGAAAATCAGATTAGTAAAATAAGCCCATATACTAAAATGCTGCTGGATCAAGGATCAAAAGCTCTAAGATCAAAACACTCTAAGAAAAATGAATAAAGCTGTTTCGAAAGCAATCAGGAAATATTAAAGGGAATTTAAAATCGACAATAATAGATTCGACAAGCATTAAGAAAAATGAAAAATAACAGTGCCTAAGGAGAGGATAAAATTGTAAATTGTAAAAAAAACTATCGTAAATGGAGGAGATGCTATTAAATAAATTAAGGAAACTGTTTAATCTATGTTTGCAGCAAAGAGAGGTGCCCATGAAATGGAACAATGCTATAACCATTGTTTGCATAAAAATGAGATGGAACACCCAGAAACACCACAAATTACCACAAATGATGTACAGCAAGTTCGTAAAATACTTGAAAACCTAAAGAACAGAAAAGCAGCAGGTAAAGACGGGATAAAATACCGGAATAATGTAGAACAAACGAACTAATTCTACGATTCAAAAAAATAGATAAAAACAGCCAGAAAACTACACAGGTATAAACATGTTAAATACTACGCTAAAACTTACAACTAAAATTTTACAATTGCTAATAAATCAGAGGATAAGTTTAGCAGATGAACAACGAGGTTTTCCTAGTGGAAGATCATGCACAGATGCAATATTCGTTATTAAGCAAATTACTGAGAAATCATTAGAGTATAGTAGACCAGCATTTATGTGTCTGATTGGCCTAAAGAAAGCATTTGACAGAGTAAGGCTCAAAGATGTAATCCATCTTCTGTATACTACATCTTCTATAGAGAAGTTCCCTAAATATTATAAAAACTGTCGAAAACATCTACAAAAACAACAAAATGGAAGTTAAAATAGATGGACAACTGACAGAACCTATAGAAATCTGTAGCGAAATAAGACAAGGGGATTCATTGAGCCCCATATTATTCAATTTGATCATGGATGAAATCATCGAAACCGCTAACAAAGGAAGAGGATACAGAATGGGAAACAAGGAAATCAAAATACTCTGTTATGCAGGCGATGCAATGTTGATAGCAAAATAGAAATTGATGGCATCAGTATTGCACAAGTAATGGAAATAAAATACCTAGGAATTACACTGTCTAGCTATGCAGACAAAAAAATAAGAGATCAAGTTTAAAAAGCAAATAGACTGCAAAATGCCTTAAAAGATGCGCGCAAAAGATGGAGTGACAACCTTCCATAGAGGTATTAATCCACCAATGAACAAGCAGAATAGCTTATAAAGATTTAGAAGAAGAAGAAAAAGAAGCAGAAGAAGAAAAAGGTTACATATTTTTTTCCTAAAATGTTTAACAAAGGAAGAATTACACCTACCCTATTTGATCTTAAATTAAAAAATATTAGAATTTATTTGCTGCCTAAGACAAGATAAGTTTATTAGAGACAAAATCAATACAGTTACCTAGTAATTATGTTCTTTACTAGCTTAATCATAAAAGTTAAGTTTAACTGGACTTATTAACTTCCATTTTACAAAACAGAAATGTCCAGTACAAATGATACCTTTAAATATATTTCTTTATAAAAATTTAAATTTTATTTCTTCCGCTAACCAGGTAATTTTTTTTTTTTTTTTTTTTTTTTTTTTATTTCGACTTTAACGTGCTCGGCTGCTATGGCCACTTACACAGGTACTATAACATGAGTTTTCATTATACAAACAATAAATGTTACATTAAGAATATGTTACAATAATACGGAATGATAATAATATGTTACACAATGTCTAAATTAAAATCTAATTATATTTTTTGATATAAGTGTTCATCTCTAAGGAATTGTAGCACAGCTTTTATTTGGTCAGGGTCGCTTAGGATATCTCGTACTTCACTTTTGAGTTTGTATTGTAATCTTCTGGCCGAATGTTGATGGCATTCAGTGAGAATATGTTTGATTGTCAAATATGATTGGCAGCTTTGACAGGAGGGACGGATGCTAGAGGACATTAGGTAGCCGTGAGTGAGTTTTGAATGTCCTATCCGAAGTCGTCTTATCACAATGAGATCTCGTCTTGACAGGGCTGAATAGTCAAATGTAGGCTGACTGGTTATTGACGGTTGTATTTCGTGTAAGATCGAACGGTTATAGTTCCAATGCTGCTGCCAAAGGAGTCTGGTTCTTCTTTTAGTATATAATTTTAGGTCCTTACAAATTTGAATTTTATCGGTGATTTCAGGTGATGCTGTAGCAAGTTTAGCATAGTGATCTGCAGTTTCATTGCCTTCTATACCAATATGAGATGGCAGCCAAATTATGGTAACTGTTATGTTTTGGGACAAGATAATTTGGTAAGAGTCTAGGATCTTTTGGACGATTGGATGATCGGTAAATATATTTTTGATAGAATGGATTGATGCTAAAGAGTCTGTGCATATGGCAACCTGCTTATTAAGTGGAGATATGTGGTTGAAAGCTTGCAATATACTAAATAATTCGCCAGTATGAACGCTGCTAACGGATGGTATAAGTGATGATTTAATTAATGAATGAGAGGTTGTGACAGAGCAGCCTACTCCTGTGTCATTTTTTGAGGCATCCGTGTATAATATTAGGTCGTAACTATTTGTACATATAATGTCTTTAAATGCATTTATAATGATCTCTTTCGGATGTTTATTTTTATCGAAGTTGGTGAGCGAGGTGTTAAATTTGGGCGTGGAGATGATCCAAGGAGGAGATATAGGGGGATAAAGAGGAAGGGTATGTGTAAGAGAGATATCATTAAGTGTCTGTGCTAAAATTAGTGGAATAGGTTTTATTGGTGGTAAGGAATTGGTATTGTGTAAATTGTATGTGGACATTACAAATAAGGGATGCACTGGATTAGAGGGGTTAGCTGATACCGATGCTGCATAAGAGAGTAGCAGTTGTTTTCGTCTTATATAAAGAGGAGGTTCGTTAGCTTCGCAATAAAGATTATCTATAGGACTAGATCGAAAAGCGCCAATACAAAGACGAAGGGCTGTGTTGTGAATTGAGTTTAGAAGGTTAATATATGTTTTGGAGGCGGATATATATATGTGACAACCATAATCTAGCTTGGAACGTATTAGTGATCTGTATATTTTAAGAAGTGAGTTTTCGTCAGATCCCCAATAATGATGTGATAAAGTTTTTATTATGTTTAGTCTTTTGCACGTTTCTCCTTTTATTGCAAATATATGTTGCTTCCAAGTTAGTCGTGCGTCAAACGTTAATCCGAGAATTTTGCATTGTTTAAC